TTTTTGTATTGATGTTGTTGGTGATGTTATCTTTGTTGTTGTTGTTGTTTTTGATGATGTTGTTGTTGGTGATGTTATCTTTGTTGCTGTTGTTGTTGATGTTATCTTTGTTGTTGCTGTTGATGATGTTATCAATGGTGTTACCGTGTTTGAAGTAGTTGATGTAGTTGGTGTTAGTGAGCTGCAGCTGAAGTTGGCCTCCTTCGAACTGAGTCAGGGATAAAGATGGAGAAGATGATGTAGAAGATGATGAGGATGATGATGGAAGAGCCATCATTTTACCTTTTCAATTTAAATTGCTATCATCATCATCATTATCGTCATCATTATCATCATTATCATCATTTCGTCATCATCATTATCATAATCTCGTCATCATTATTATCATGATGTCGTCATCGTCATCCTCATCATCCTCATCATCATCATCATCAGCAGCATCATCATCTCGTCATCATCATCATCATCATCATCATCATCATCAACATCATCATCATCACCATATTCATAATCAAGACCAAACAAGCAGTACGGCTGGTTGGTAGATGAATTTTTATACCCCCACCAAGCTATTCAAAGTGTACTTTTGTGTTTGTTTGTGTGTGTTTGTGTTTGCTTGTGTGTCTGTGTGTGAGTATGTAAGTATGTGTGTCAGTGAGTATGTAAGTGTGTCTGTGTAATTTAACAAATAATTATTTATGCTTATGCGTGGATGTGTATTAGGAATTCAATGTTAGGATCTAATATAAAAAAATAATATAATTCTCTCTATAGATATATCTCAATATCAATAGATACATAGATGTTTGTATGTGTGTGTTTGTATGCATGTGTGTGTGTGTGTGTGTGTTTGTATGTATGTGTGCGTGTGTTTGTATGTATGTGTGCGTGTGTGTGTGTGTGTGTGTGTGTGTGTGTGTGTGTGTAGTATTGATATACGCACATTGGAGGCAGGCATATATTTACGTCGTTAAGGGAATTGTGGAGAAAAGAAATGAAATACACGTGGCGGACTGAGAGTAGAGGAAAGAGAGGCATAAATTTCAAAGTTCAAAAATTTCAAAAATAAAAAACTCGCTGAAACAAAAGAAAAAATGATTCATAGGCGGAAAGTCCAGCGACTTAACGTAAACTGGAATGATTAGTTTTTGTGCTGGAGCAACAAATAAAGAAGATGCACTCCTGATGATTATACTCAAAACTACATCTAGTTAGTGAGAAAATATTCAAATAAGGTTCTCAGTTTGTGGAAATATCCGTTCTTTTTCATTACTTTATTTATCATTTCACGCTTTAAATATTCAAATTCAAAAAAATTTGGTTATGGATTCTAATTGCCGTCAGAAACAAATAACGACATCTTTGATTTTTATTTTTTCTCTGGTAATCGAGATAGGCGGACTGGAGCACACATTTCATGTAAGATCAGTTAAAAAAGGAACGAAGGAGACATTGAAGATTAGAAAGATTCCACTAATTTCAATCTATGGCTCCTTCCAACAAGACAACCAACTCCTCCCTTCCTAATGAATGCATGTGTGCTAGTTTCTGGTTTTACATCTCAGCTCCCTGGATGCGCATACATGTTGTACGCGTGTACAACGATGCATTACAACGATGCATGCAGTGGAGGATAGAGATACGTCGATGGATACATGGGTCAGATCAGTGCTTCTCAAACTTTTTGGTCCGCCGCGACCGGCAACAATTTTAGCAGGAATATCGCCGACACCCAGTTTGCGGTACACAACACACACACACACACACATACACACACACACACACACATATATATATATATATATACACATACATATACACACACACACAAATATTCCGATAATAACACCTTCAAGGCACCTTCATTTTTTTTGAACAAAGAGTGCATGATGGAGGCGACGCGGTAAATTAGATTGATGATGCTGGTTACCAAATTATTATCAGACTGCCAACCAGTTGCCTAATGTGGTTTTGTATAACATGGTACTGTGTAATATGGTTTGGTTTATATGGTATTGTATAATGAGGTGCTTATTAAACGATGTATTTGTATTTTGTTGAATTATAAATGGTGTTTACTAATGTATCATTTTGATGCTATTGTATTTTCAACGTATTTTTATTTTACAATTTTTCTTCACTTTCAAGTCGAAAACTTTTTGAACGAATGCAAATTTGGCTCCGTTGTTTTAGAAATTCTTTTCTTGTGAAAGAAGAACATGGGCCATAAATTGTGAGTGTTGTTTTGCATCAGAGAACCTGCCTACAGTGCACCTATCTATAAAAATGCTCTGACGAACATTTCTGCATGATGTATTGCTCGTTTCTTTGCATTGTGTATGTATTCTTTGTTTTTGTATCCGTATTTGTATGTATTTGCATGTATTTGCATGTATATATATTAGTGTCTTGCATGGATGATATAATACAATTGTTACATTAACATAACAAGGTCGAATTATTTTAAAATTTCAATAAACTTTTCTGAATGGTGTTAGTACGTGTAATGTATACATAGCCTAACGGTATTGCCAGAAAACATGAAAAAATATTTAAAATAAATTTCTGAAGATTTCTGGCTTGAGATAGTATTTGAATAAAAACAAAAAAAATATAAAATATATCAATACATTGAAACTTAATATATAATATTATACATAATTTTATATATAAATAATTAAAAGTGTTTCATTAAAATTGAGGCAACTAAGCAGAAACCAACAATTATGCCAAACTTATCGAGTTTAAATTATATAAGTCGGATGGTTTTTATTTTATACATTGTCATCATAATTTATTATCAATATTATTTATCACCGTCATAATTTAATATCATCATAATCTAATATCATCATAATTTAATATCATCATAATTTATTATCATCATAATTTAATATCATCTTAATTTAATATCCATCATAATTTATTTTCATCATAATTGATTATTTTCCGTAATAATAAATACAATTTATTCATAATTGTTTAAAATAATTGATTTATAATTTTTTTGAGAATGAAAGTGTACAATATGCTTGAACTTCAAAGGGTAATTTAACGTTTCGAGATTAAATTTTTTTTTTAAGTTTAACATTTTTTTTACGAAATTTCCTTTTTATTGTTTAGGTGATATTAATAATTCTGATTATCGCGGTAAATTTTTATGAAAATGATTACAAGATGTCCTGGTTGATCTTACGCGTTGAAAAACCCCTGATTAAATCTTACAAGCAGGTGTTTGTTTCCTGCAATGAAGATTCTTAATTACTGCTTTGAGGTTTGTTTTTTTTTTCGATTCACTGAATTTTAATTTAACATCGAGAAAGATGACGTCATGAGATATGGTGTGACTGGCTGTAGATATTGTTTTCATGACGCTATGTGACTCTAACAAACAAACAAACAAACAAACAAACAAACAAACAACCAACCAACCAACCAAACAAACAATTCTTCACGAATTTTCAGCCATCAGTTGTCTGTCGACAAACACACGGTTGGAAGGTGTGTAAGAAGTATTCTTGAAACACACGATATATCAACCATATTGACACACACCCCACCAGCAGACATGACATTACATCGACAAAAAACACATCAACATACATCACATCAACGTACTTTATACTGGCCAACTAACTGATAATTATAATTTTCCTCTTAGTAAACAACAATCACGTCAATCAACATAATTAAATTTTATTTACAAGTTTAAAATGTGATAATGACAAATAAAGGATAATAACAAAGCGGTCAAGCTACCTCGAGTCACAGGAAGTCAGCACTGGGAGCCTCCATTTCCTCGAACCTTCGCTTCGTTCTGTCATAGTCCAATGCCCGGGCAAATGTTCTATTTATTCCAACTTCAAATTATCTAGTTTCAATTTTAAAAACTGTTCCAAAACAATATTTAAACTCCGAGAAATAATATAATTTAATTTTATAGCCAACCACCCTAAGCCAAAATGTTGACTATTTATTCACCGGTTTATTTTTCTGTTTGAATCATTCATTCGTCTCTTAATCTCTGCATTTTGACAGGAAGTGGACACTAATTTAAATCAACAATGTCAGCTCAAGAGCTTGCAGACTTCAAGTATAAAAAAACTTTATGTAAACAACATACAATAGGCATACAAACCTCGTACAAATCACATACAATCCTCATACAAATGACATACAAACATCATGCAAATGACATGCAAAGATCATACAAATGTCACACAAACCTCATACAAACAACACACGTATATATCACACGTACAAGTAAACTCGGGTACAAACAAATCCTGCAGAACTTCTTCCATTTCATCATTGTCCCTTCTCGCTTGGCACTTATATTTCAAGAATTCACCGACGTTATATACATCATATAAAGCCTCGATTGTGCGCGTGTGCGTTTGAGTGTGTGCGTATATGTGTGTTTGTGAGTGTGTGCTGTGTATGTGTTTGTGCTTGTCTGTACCCATGCATGGTATGTCTGTACGACTACACTTCCTGCTTAAATATCGCAAATACATATGTATAAGTTTGTTTGTTTGTTTGTTTGACTGTTGTTTATTGGTATGTATGTATCTATGTATGTATGTATATATGTATGTACGTACATACATACATACATACATACATTCATACATACATACATACATACATACATACATACATACATACATACATACATACATACATACATACATACATACATACATACATACATACATATATACATACATACATACATACATACATACATACATACATACATACATACATACATACATACATACATACATGCATGCATGCATACATACACACATACATACATACATACCCTACATACATACATACATACCCTACATACATGCACAAACAAGCAAGCTTCCAAACATATACACCATACTTGCGCATAAGTATATACGTTAAAACACGCCAGGCATACAAACGTTAATGCATACATTCTTGTATGCATGAATGAATTCACATATGTATGTTATATACATATTTATATATCTTTTATTATAAACGTATATATCTTATATAATATTGCATATATACAATATTATATATAAATAATTAAATATTAATACAATATTGTATGAATTCTACCGAATTGTTGTACAATTCAGTAAAATTCGGTACAAAATACTGTATAAAATATAGTCTCCTTACATACATACATACATTTATATATATATATATATATACACACACACACACACACACACACACATTCGTTTAAATGTAGATGCTTGCGGGAACACTTAATGCACATCTCTG